GTCCCCGCTCTGGGGCCACGTTCTCGACAGCACGTCCCATGTTGAGCACCAGCAACCACCATCAGCAGTGAGCACTGTGTGCTGTGCCGCAACACGACGGCGCCGACAGTCGTCTTCCATCCACCTCCCCATCAAACCACCAACCAGACCCTAGCACAACAATACTCCCATGCCCATGACCATGCCTTGCCCCGCGCCGTGTCGTGTCGTTTGATTTTGGTCGGCGACGGCGTGGGGCATCTATCTTGACCGAACGAACGAACGAACGCCCACCCGCCCATGACAGACACATCAAAGTCACACCCTCCGAGTTAGGTCTGGCCAGCACTATCGATTCCATACTCTTGGGAGTCCGTCGTCGAAGGACATACAATATCAACGCATTGCTAATTTCCGCCAATTACTGATTGGTCGGGCTGGCCCTGCAAATTACCACCTCACTTCTGTTAAATAATGAGAGTCGTATACATAGAACTATAGTGCACTGCAGCGCGGCGTGATCGCACGTCAGATTTCTTCACGGCCCCAGTCTGATCATTTTCTGGTGCCGATTCACATCGATAGTCTCTGCAAATCAACGGGGCACAATCTGACAATGATGATTTTCATTGCTAGGGGAGCATGCTATGCGGACCTGAGCAGGTCATTATACACGTCAGGTCATGATTTTTCTCGGCCGATGCAATAATCAAGCTGGTTTTGCTTGCGGACATGTTTGGAGTGGCACTTTTTGCGCCGGACTACCACGCTACGTTGAGCAAATTACCCCATGCGGATGGCATGCCACAGCTGATTGAGGCAAGTTTCTAGAGCGCTACCCCAAGTATGGGCTCAAATGAGCCCAGAGGGAAAGGAGCTCTCCAAACCAGGAAATCAGCTTCCTGGAGGCGGCACACCAAGGACTACCCCTACACCCTCTTGAATCCGTCGGGTTACCAAGCAGAGAGTCCAGACGTCAGACACGCCAGGCCAAACAGCGTTGCAGCGTTCCACACACTCCCGTCCCCAAAATGCGGTGCAAGATACGTACCTGAGGAGCACAGTACCGCAAATGCAGAGCTGTCCAACAGAAAGCCAAGAAGCCTACATAGCACGTCCTAGCCCGTTGCCCTGTGGGTTTTGCTTTGCCAACTGCACCAAGGGCCGCCCGGAAGCATTACGCGCAGGTGGTGATTCAACCAACCTAACGGGGGTAGTCATAAATTGGAATTGAAAAACCGTCTCGCGACCTAGGCATCCTCATCAGCTGAAAGCAGCCAACCAGATGGGTCATTGGAGGATTGGAAGGACCCGAAGACAGCCCAAGACAAGCCGAGGTCTTCGATACCGCTAGTCGCGGTAAGCAGCAGGGATGCAATTTGGTTCCTTGCGCACTGGTTGCACTGAGCGCTTTCCCGATCACTCATTCCCCCATGATCCCAATCAGCGAGCCAGTATCCGCCCCACTGGGGCCAGGAATCATTAATCATTCGTTGGCGCATTCGTTCAATATTGTAAGTACTGTCTCTCGAGGTCGAGGCCGAAAGAGGGTCCCCCAAGGTGGTTCTCTCATCTTCCCTAGTAGGAGATTTCCCCCCTTCACTCCCAGTCAGTCTCTGTTGTTGAAGCCGCAACAACCCTTCTGCAGGAGATGCTATGACCACCATTTGAGCGTCGGTATGAACTGTACCGTGCCGCACTGTACACATATCGCGATCGCTTATTTCCCATGTATGCCACTGGTAGTCTGACTCTAGGATAGGGAGCTAAAATTGAGGGGCCCGTAGTAAGTGCGAGACACAGAGAACCGATGGCTGGTGTCGTCGCTGGTACTGTATTCGCTGATATGACACTCTTTTCTGTGCACACAGACAGGGACTGGCCCGGACCGAAGTTGCAGACTTGAAGGCGGCACCGGTATGGTTCAACGCGTGGCGGCCAAAGCCAAAGCCAAGAAGAGGACCGCAAGCGACAGAAGCTAGAAAGAAGGCTTTGACAGCGCCGGTGCGAATGTTCTAGGTTCTGACAAGACGTCGACGTCTGTCCTCTGCCTTGCGTTAGCTCGGTACTCGAGGAGAACAATTTTTGAAGACACAGGGACCGGATCCCAAACAGGGCAAGTCAGGTACATTTCCTGCACACGGCCCTTGAGAAGTCAGAGAAGGGGTTGGAAAGTTGGGGGGAAAAAAAAGAAGAAAAAAAGAGAGCAACGCGCCAAATCGGTAGACCCTTGCCGCCCATGTCGACAGTTGTACCGCGTTTGCCCGCCCCCTTTTTCTGATGGAATAACGACATGACATAGATAACCCTGCAAATGCCTGGTCGCCCTCTGGATCTAACAGTACGGGTACAGACATGCAATATCTCACTGCCGTATCTGCAATTGTACGTACCTGTGCGCACATCGGCGAGACAGGGAAGGGTCAAGTCATGAATGGGTGCGGAAACAACGACGAAGATTGCGGTGCATCTATGGGCGTGGGAAAAAAAAAAAACCCAAAACCCGCGACCAGTAGCCAGCCCAGGGCCACACTGGACTGGTCCGGTTGGCCGCGAGCTGACCGGCAGGGCCCACAGCCATGGCGGGACGCAACCTAACAGTGTTAATTGGCATCACTTGATGTCTATCGCGGACTCGACATGCAACTGGGGCTGGGATTTGGAAGTTCTGGATTGGCACTGTCCAGTAACCTGGGCGGACTTGAGGCGACAGTGGCAGGCAATTCGACTTGGTTTCCCGGCGCTGTTACAAGGTATAGCTTGGTAAAAATAAAATAAAATAAAAATACCAATCAATGACAAGTTGGATTGCGATGTACTTAGAAACTAAAAAACCCCGCGAGTGTGAGAAGCAGCTAAAGGGAACGGGCGGGCGAGGCGAAGCTGATACTTTTGCAAATGTTGATGGTGCTGCTGTGCCGCCAGTGCTGACACGCGGTACAAGTGGTGGTTGACACTGCTGAAGTAGCGACGCAAATGTTTGTGCCTGTGGCAGGTGGGGGAACCTTCGTTGCTGCAGAAGGGCGCGTGCTAGTATATCTCCTCAACCCTCGTGCCTTAGGATGGATATGGTTGTTTACGGGGGTGCCCTGGGAGAAGACCAGGAATACCACTAGTGACAGTTCGTATGAGCCTTCGCGCGGATTGAAAATTGATGTAAGCCTACCTACGGATACTGCATAGGATAGATAGATTGAAGAGGGGAGGAGCCTGCTGGGCGTGTTTCCCCGACCTGAAGGCAGGGAGGTAAGGAGGCAAAGAAGAGAGAGGAAATTTGGTTAGGAGGAGCACCCTCAGCACACTGGAGACAGAGTGTGACAGAGGGAAAGAAGTCACTTTGGGAGTGCCCCACTCTCCTCTTTCGACACCACCTCACCTGTTCGTCCAACCAGATTCGCTCATGGAGTCCTGCCTGCACCTGGTTGCGCGCTGGCTGAGAGTGGTCCTTTCCCTCGTCGAAATTCTATCTGGCTGGTTCCTGCCTGCCCGGTTGTTGTCTACATAGCATGTCGGTGGTGTCGACCCTCATACAGTTCCCGTCCAATCTTCCCGTCTTGTTCCTTCCTGATCGACCGTTCGCTCTTTCGGGCTTTGTTGAATACCAAACCCACGGTCCTTCTCCCCCTTCCGTCTCGGTTTACTTCCCCTACAATACTGATAGCGCGTTTCTCTCAAAGCTGAATAAGAAGGAAGAGAAGGGTGAGGATAATAGGTAGATAGAGTTAGTCAAAGTGGGAATCTGGAGGGGAAGAGCAAGAGGGAGAAGGCGAGAGAAAAAAAATACAGATACACACAACCTATCCGCCCATCCCACCACCCATCCATCTTTCTCTCTCACCATCATCCACCCATCCATCACCACCCCTCCCACACACACACACCCCTTCCAGCTGATGTATCTTGTATCTCGCACTGTACGATACAACCCAGCTAGCACTCGGAACCCTTGTCGCTCCCCCAAGGCCCCCCCGTCGCGTCTCTGAGGTCTCCGTAGAGTCCCAAAGCCCAAGACCGCCACCCCCCCGCCTTTCGTTTTTCCTTAAACTGTCTGGTCGTGGCCGCAGCCCGTGCTACCACCTCACTATCCTCTTTTCATTCACTCCGCAGTCCCCTTTGCCTTATTCTCAATCGAGGTTCTTCCCCAACTGACACTTGTTGCTTGTTTTTGAGCAGGGGAAATCGCTTGACAACCAGAAGCGTTCACACATCAACCGACAGCTTGTCCTGCCTTAACCTTTATTCTGGGGCACCCAAAACCCGTCCGTCGGCTCCGCGCAAAGGCAACTATCGACTCGAACACCCGGACGAGTCCCTATCTATCTATCAGCCGTACCCAGTCCCACGTTCCCCGAGTCGCGTTTTTCCCTTTTCTACAACACAAACCCGCTCGGCTCATAATCTGCACTGCAGTCCAGTTTGTTGCGCCAGTCAAGCCTCTTCTAACCCGCCCACGCGTGTTACGCACAACCACTCTTTCCCTCATCACCCATCTTTAAACCACACGGCGCGCCTGTCAAAAAGAAAAAAAAAAGTCGACTTTGACTACTGTCGACCTAAACAAATTTCATCCGTCCACTGTCCCGACAAGCACAAGCGCATGTCAGGCACGGAAGCTCCAAAAGTCAAACAAAGCAAATAAAAATTAAACCAGCAAATTCCTCGCTTCCGTTGGTCGGCAAAACCGCACTACACGCACCACCCACACAGCTACCACCACTTCCCGCGTAACCTACCTGGGTCTTCGCCTTACTTCTTTCTGCCTCTACCTTCCTTCCACCTGCCACCACCCTCCACCACCCGCAAGGCACCACCGCAACCGCACCACACCAGACTCGATACAGGCTACGTCCCGTCCTGACCTGGTTTCTTCTGCGACAGCATTCAAGCTACACACAACAGCTGCCCTCGCCTCCAGATCAAGTATAGATCAATCGGCACCACGCTCAAAGCAGTATCTCCACCGTTTTTTTTTTTTGCCCTTTCCTGCTTCGTGATACGATTCGACAATCACCAAAACCACAATGGCCGACATCACCGATCAACACGACCAGACCTCGCCCACCGACCTCGAGGAATCGCAGGTTGGCAACGGCAACGTCGCTGAGAACAGAGGCGTTAAGCGCCAGCGTCCCAGCACCGCTGATGATGACGACGATGACGACGAGAAGGGCGGCCGCGAGCGTCGCAAGATTGAGATCAAGTTTATCAATGACAAGTCTCGCCGCCACATCACCTTTTCCAAGCGCAAAGCTGGTATCATGAAGAAGGTGAGAAGCCCTCGTCGCATTGCATACTGCAGTTACTGCGTGTCCGCCAACTGCACGCACATCATCATCTTTCAATGCATCAATCGCTGACCCAACAAATAACAGGCCTATGAGCTCTCTGTCCTCACCGGCACTCAGGTGCTGCTTCTTGTCGTCTCCGAGACTGGTCTCGTGTACACATTCACGACGCCAAAGCTGCAACCTCTTGTTACCAAGGCTGAGGGTAAGAATTTGATTCAGGTATGATTCCCTTGTAACCCAAGCTCCCGGATCTGGTGAACTATGAGGATTGACTTTCGATGCAGGCATGCCTCAACGCCCCCGAGCCCACACCTGGTGGTGAGAACGGCGTCGACGACCAGAACCAAGTCGACTCTCCGGAAGAGCCTCCCCAACAACACCTCCCTCCCCAGCGCCAGGGTATGCCGCAAAACCCACACATGCCCCCCAACTACAGCATGGCCCAAGTTGGAATGGATCCTTCGCAGGCGCTTGCGTACCAGAGTTACGTGCAGCAGCAACAACGGGGTGGTGGCTACGCGATGCCTCCGCAATCTGGTCTTCCTCAACACACGTCGCACCAGTCATGATAGCCAGGCTCTTCATGACCAGTGCATTTCTTGTTGATACCTGACACCCTGCATTCTGGAGACCTCGCCTTGTCGGCACCAGACCGGGTCGGCATTTTATCCCCAAACTCGAGGCTCTAGCGGTTTGGCGTTACAGTTCAGTGTTTACCACTCGCTGCATCTCGTCCCATTACTTTTTTTTATATCTTTTCTTCCCTTGATTCCAATTTCCCTTTACTAAATTCCGTCAACGGCTATCAGTAATTCGAAAGTTCTTGGCCACCGGCAGTCATTGAAGTTTTTGACCTGGCTGAGGGTCGTAGAATTCTGTGTGTCTACCTTATCACGGAGCGAGACTTAATGTTATCTTGTGGGTGGGAACGCCGGGGTGCACGCGATGAGAACATGGCAACATGGAGCACATCCAAACGGGGGACGACACTGTGGGGGATGTCATTATGGAGGCGGTCTGGTTGAACACAAAACATGTTGTGCAACGGGCCACTTTGATGCTGGCCCGAGATGGGAGGTTGAGAGCGTGCGCTTGAATTTGTATGGCAGCGTTGGCCATTTTCTCTTCCTCTCTCATTCGTTTATGCCTCGAGGGAGGGAAGGTTGCGTGGTCTGCTCTTGAGAAAGGGTAGGGGGTCTCGGCGCGGGAGGACAGGTTTTCAAGCATGAGAGCATGATTTCTCACGGCTGGGGCATGCACATTTTTCTTGGAATGGACTTTGATGATTTTTGTCGAGGATCAAATGGGCCGAGACACGCGCGCGTCTCTTTTTATTTTCCACAAAACATCCCGAGAATTTACGTAGGACTCGGCTTCGATACCCCGGCCCTGGGCAAATCAACAAAACAACAATACATTCACACAAACTATGTTGGTCTTTCTCAATTTTATTCCCTGGAAGAAACGTTTGCCTCGGCATCCCACTTGCTATTGGAGTCCGGAATCAGATGGATGGGGAACAAGGCGGAGAAAGAGAACCGTGATCAGGGAAACAGCAAAGGTCAAGAGAGTTGTAGGTTGTATTATAGCATTTGCACTTTGGTTTTTTGTTTCGGTTTTTTTTTTTTTTTTCGTGTTTGCACAGTTTTCTCTCTTAGAAAGTCAAGGTCTGACAAACTGCTAATCATTTCACGTCTTCACGAGTCCTTCCCCCAAGTTGCCAAAGATCTTGTGTGAATGACCGTTGTACCCGCCATGAGCCCCATCGACGGCACTTACTAGCCACTGACCTTGCCACGTCTTACTTACGACCTTACTTACGACGCAAGTCCTTGAGTTCCCTGGACCGTGCCGTTTGCGGACTGCTTGCGTTCGTATGTGGCAAGAAGATGGGAAACGAGTGCATGTGCGTGTGTGTGTGTGTGTGTGTGTGTGTGTGTGTGGCCGTCATGGTGACATGACAAGTGACTGAACTCTAATGCGGGAATGCGAGACACTTTTGAGCTTTCCCTCCCCCTCTCCCTCTCCCCCCTCCTCCATCGGGTCTGTCGAGAAAGCTTGGATTGATGTTTTTCTTCCCTTTTTTTTTTTTTTTTCTCAATTAAGATTTTCTTAGGGTGTTAGTAACCAAGTCGTCTCCTTTCTCTTCCAATCAGTTGCAGAAGCTTCTTGTTTTTGCTAGTCTTTATTTTTTTTTATTTTTTTTCTCCGTGAGATTTCCTCATTTATCCATTTTCCGGTTCGGACATTGGAGAAATTCAGAAATACTGCACCCCCCCACCTACCGAATTTCGCACGTTCATATACTGTAAGCTACCTGAATAGGCTACTGGCCGAATCTGATTTTCAAGGGTGCATATTTTGGTTCGCGACGCAGCTTGAGTTTGGTAGAATTAAGACGGAGGGATATAATGAGGGGTTTGTGTTTAAAGAAAAGATAAAAAAAAAAAATCAAGATGGAAAAAGAAGAAGAGAAGCGTCCCTCGATCCCGAGACGCAGGTTTCCTGAATAGGTAATGTTGGATTATGTTTATTTTCGTTCTTGTTTTTATTTCGAAATACGTTACTCCTCTCCATCCTGGGTCTGGTTCAACCGTGGATGAGATGCAAGGGGGCACTGGGGCGTACACTTGGAAATGCTGCTTTTGGCCGTCTGGCGAATTGTGATTCGGCGGCTGCATGGCCCGCACGCCGCCGACCTGGACGCCCGGGTGAGAGGGGGTCGGCGCGCTACCGCCTGTCAAGTGTGTGGTAGTGGACCTAGTTTACTGGCCTACTGCTACACTACTGCGCCCACCAGTGTCTGTATGCACGTCCGCACGGCGGTAGCGGTAGCGGTAGCGGTGGCGGTGTCCGGATAGAGGGTTCTGGAGTAGCGGGTAACAGCCCAGTTGGGGTAGCTATTTGGCATCGCATCATCATGCCACTATTCATGTCAGTTTGACTGTTTATCAATGACACAGGTATTTCAGAGCACATTCTGCTCATTTCGCGTCCATTCAAATGCTAGGTTCGTCTTTCTTACACTTTCTTTTTCCTTCTCCTATTCGAATTTCTGTGGCGGGGCAGATGCGCATTCCTAGCTATTTCCCTTTCGGTGAAGTTATGGATGGGCAGCTTGTTGGTGGGGAAGGTCCTATCTGCATCGGGACATGATGCAGGGACAGCTCGTTGCCTTTTTAGGCCTGGTGGGCTCCCCCGCGATGGGATTCGCAACGGCGGCGATGGAATTTCCGGTGGATTTTGATATTTAGCAGTGTAGCAGGCTATGGGTTTTAAAAAAAAAGGTAGGCTTTGTGTCGGTTACTCTCAGGATGGTTGGTCGCCTTGTTTGCAGAAGGCGTGATGTAGATAATCCGTGCGGTCGTCGCGACACCCTCCAACAAGAAACTGGAAGCAGCCGACGAGGCTGTGCTTAGGAGGGATCATGATACCACGGTGGTGTCTATAGGGCTATCGGCTACTTGCTATACTCCGTGAACAAGGATGACCAAGAATGGTGTCTACTTTAAGTTGTCCTGTTGGCAACTCTGTTGGGCCCAAGAAAGCATATCTTGCCAAGTTCCTGTGATTTGTCCGCTTTTACCACGCACTGGTCTTGAGACCGCCGTGTTCTAGACACACACTCGTTCGCTAAACGATCGAGATAGGACGATAGATGAACGGCGCGTAATCTATCTTATTCGTTCTAATCAAGCACTCCGCGGCTTGCTTCACTGTTCAGTCAACAGTGTGTCAGTAGGATAGAACGAGCGAAGAGCGCTTTAACACTCACCAAAGCCCGCCGGACTTTGCGTATCATGCGCTGGCCCTCCGACGTTTGAAGAGGGAAAACGGTGTGTCCGGGCGTCGTTCTCCGGCTGAAAGGGACTGGCCTCACCTCCGACCGATTCTTTACTTGGTAGTTCAGCCTCGTGCCTAGGCCCTTGTCTCTTCCGGACAATCGCGAACTCTGCATCGTCCCAACGACCGCCGTTAGAGTCGGGCAAGAACGATTGCGGCCCACATAGACCCGAGGCCGCTGATGAAAGCTATGTACCACACAGTGCTCGGAGTCTTCTTTCCTTTTTTAGGAACAAGAAAAAGTCCGCCGGGTTAGAAGCCTGTTATGGACTTCAGGCAAAGTGAAGGGACGTCAGAGAAGTCACGGGTATAGTCGCTGATTTCTCGTCTGTTGTTCTATCTGAATTGTCTTGTATCCAACTCATAAACAACATTGCCGGCAGCTGATTTTAAGGGTTCGGGTAACTTAATTTGTGCCGTTCTGCCTTAAATTACGCCACAAGCATCAGCGAAAGACCTGGGTAGAGCGTTTTGAGGCAGTTGCCACGTTCCTACTCTTCAGCTGCCTCTCTCCTTTGGATGCCGGCAAAGGCGACGGACAAATAACAGCTTAGCCCTAGTACAGAGAGTTAGAAATAGAAGCCATTTCTTTATTTTTATTTTTGCTTCACTTTCATCACTCGTAACTTCCCGAACTCCCTCGTGAATTGGTCCACGCACCGAATTGAGTGGAAGCTAACACGAGGAAGGACGGTAAAACTTTGGTGAACCCCTCTGGACGAGCAGATCAGATGAAACGAGCAGAAACAAGGCATCTGGGAATGCGGGAACTGAGGAAGCGCAGTGATGAAGACACACTCCCGCAACCCTTCCATGTCTTGCACTTGGTATAGGTGACGTTGCCCTACACCCCACGACTCGGAGATTTGAGACCATTGGAGGGAGGATGCTTGTTCGTCGACAACATCAACGTATCCGTACTCGCAGTGCATGCGAACATGTGACCGGTTGCACAACAACTGACATGAGCGAGTAGCTGGCTGGTCAATGTGGTTGAGGTGCTGGCACTGACGCTCTGCATGACCTGACCGTTCTCTTGGGTCAACCCCCAGAGAATCCGACTCTCTGTGTAGACCGTAAGAGTTAAGAGTGCCGCTAAACAGCGCCCAACCTAAATTTCTGAGAAACTATTCATGTTCAATGCTGCCATGGAAACGTACTAGTTGCTAAGAGCACGAGGTTTCTCTTCCTTGTAAAATAGCCATCGGAAAGCCCCAAATAATAACTAGATGTGCTTGATGAGATGGGAATTTGTTGGCCATCTTGTCTGACTGGCTTGGGTGAAGCACGAATGAGAACTGTGGGCTCGGATACCGGATAGGTTGAGGGAGTTTGAGAAGGTTTCTGCACGGACCAAGCGCATGCCCCACATTGTGTACCTTCTACTTCTGTTACTATCACTCACAAGACGATTAGGACCAAAGTCGCTACGCTTACAGCTTTGATAATGTTACGACACATCCGTCAGTTAACCCCCATTGACGTCGTCAGACACTGTCGCTAAAATATCAATGAGCATCGTTCATAAGTCACTCGAAGCCCATTAACTTCATAGCTTGAGGCTATAGACGAGAAACAAGTAACATTCAAAACAAAATTGGAAGTTGATTTTCTCTTTTCTTGAAAAAAAAAAAAGGACTAAGCTGGTCAAACGGTGTCCGTTCTCTCGTGGTCACAAATTACTTGGTTTCGTCTCTTTCGTCTCCGCTCAAGCAGTGCTCGCGCCGCAGGGTCCAGCCTTAATTAGTCGGATAGAAGTGAATGTCGAGTTTCTTGTCCCGGGGTAAAATGAGTCTCGGAATTTTAATGCTCTCCCATGGTGGCAAAGCGGCCGACAGCGAGACTGCCCAAGAAGACACCACCGAGAACCGAGAGCAGATATCCAACGTTCATGGTCATGACAGCCAACATGCTGTGATTCAATTAGTATATGTGCCAAAGCAAACAAGGAGAGTTACCCACAGAAGATAGCCAACGCCAGCAATAGCAGTGTCAATTAGAGCGCGGATGGGATCGACCGAAAACCTCCAAGGTCGCCAGATACCATGCTGTGACTGGACAACCGTGACATTTTCCTCGACGCCGTTCTCCGAGAGTACCATCTTCTGGGCCATGCTGTCCGAAGACATCTTGGCAGCCATGCCCAGCTTTCCGCTCACATTGACGTATCGTCGCTTGAAGTCTTTATCCAGCCACCGCTTCTCCTGGATGGACTTCAAGGCCAGCATGCTGCGGAGACTAAAGGCGAGGAAGATGAGGAAGATGCAAGTAGCAGCGTAGGTGCCGACACTGTTGGGGGTCCAGGTCTCGGTATAGAGGGGGGTCTTCATGTTTGTCTGGAAGATGGTCATCATCATCATGCTCATGCTTCCGCTGCCAGAGCCGTGACTGTCGTTCATCCCCCCCATGTCCATGCCGGGCATGGCGTCCGAGGCTGTAGCCGCCCCAGTTGCTCCGTGATCCTCACCACCATGCCTTGCCATGAGGAAGCTGTCCATTGCGGCGTTTTGGAGTCTGCAAAGTGATCGACGCTGTTGTGAAGGAAAGAAAGCGCTCGGTAGTAGAGAGTGACGATGCGAATCTATTCGAACCAGGCTCCAGTCCTGGCCGTGGATATAGGAATTAGTTTATAGTTGGATAGTCGACGGAGAGATAGGAACGAAATTCTTCAGATGGATCGGGACTAGGTGGCTGAGCTGGTGATATAGATTGGCAGCGAGAAGGTTTGCGAGGGATCTTCAGACGCTTCGAGCAAGGAGGGCGTTACAAATCGGACCTCACGATACAGCGGCGAAACAAGAGCATATTGTGTGCATTAACGACAAGTAACATGGCTCGTGCCAAGATGTGGGAGACGGGCAGGTGTGACTTTTTGTTGCTCCTGCCGACCACCCATCGAACCTGGATGGCCCTAGGTGAGACGAATGGCAAGGCACAGGGCGCCCTAAGATGGCTTTAGCAGATTGCGGCGGCAGCAACGCTGCGAAGTTGGTAAGGCATGTTGAAGGTGTCAGTACTGCGCCCCGGGGTCGTTTACTTGCAAACATGCGCATCAGTGGAGTTTGCGACAGCGCCAAGGACGGATAGTAAGCGGAGACGACCAGTCTAGCCTTACTGATTGGCTCGTCTCACATTTTAGCTCCACCAGCCACCAAGAACTGTAAGTACCAGTACCAGGATTCTTTAACAATTTCTACATTGAGTGCCCCTCCAAACTCTAGCATCCACACATTCAGGACTCAAACAATCTGCTCACTGCTAGTACTAACATCGGCTTTTTCTGCCTTTTCTTACAGGTTTTCAACCTGATACGTTGCCATTAAGCACAACATTCGGCCGAATTACGAGACGAAAAAGAAAGCAACTGCTTAGTTCCAGCTTTGGCATTGCTAGTTATTGGCCAGCTTCTGTTCGATTCCAGTTCCGCTTCCCTCCCCTTTGTAAACACTGGGTTGCATTTGTTTCCCCAAAATAGCCCACATCCCCGAGTTCCTGGACCAACTGGAGACATGAACAAGGGTTTTCGAAGCAGGCCAGGCTCGTCCACCCTGGACATGACAGAAATCAAATACTCTATCAGCACGGGTTAATGTATGAGATTGAAATGTCCCCGGTGGTATTGTGGCCTAGACCGTGGGGAAAAGCAAGGGGCCCCTATATGGGGCAGTTTTACGCTTGTTCGAAACAAGCTCATTAACTTTTGCAGCGGCGACTGCGTGGCCTAGGATGGCGTCAAAGCTGTCTCGTGTGTCCACGCTGGACCCTAAGCATAGGTAGAGATGAGTATTCGTCTGACGTCGAGACCAAAACCTTCCTATTCTCGGCTGTCCCTCCATCCCGGCAAGCCAGTTCGTTCGCTTGCCTCACCCCAATCTCACCAATCGCATTCATAGTCCCTCGATCTCTACAGATTATGGCCCCCCGTCCAATGAACAGTCCTCCAGTGACGGGAGCTGATTGGCTCAGCAACCCTGTTTTCTTCAATACTGCCCCGTTACTTCGATACGCCCCACGTGCTATAACGTTTCTGAGTCTTTTCGCAGCGGCAGTAGACAGAACTTCAGGCTGAGACCACTTCGGCCGAGTATGCATGCCTTCAATCTGTCTCCCAAAACGGTAATCAGTCGGTATGCAGTTTCACGATAAACCCCTGGGTGAAGAGTGCTTGTTCGAAAGTCCTCCGGCCACACCGAACAACACCACACCGGAGCCCGGCACCTTGCCCTCGATCACGGAATATTCACCCTACGGTATCATGAGATGTGTCCCCAATCACATCTTTGGTCCACCAAGCCTTCTATACCCATGCTCCGTTAACATTTCAACAGATTGCCAGACTAAATGTATTCATCAAGCCCAGACGCAGAACATGCAACCCAAAAGAGGTCACTTGCTATCAACACAGGCATGCAACAACGGGGATAAAAGCGTGTCCCAAACTTGAAGCAGAGTATTGCGTAGTGATAGCTGATAATCAGCATGGAACGGACTTGCCCGATCCTACGGTGACCTGCTTCGCCCGGCCTCGTTTTGGATAACTTCAAGTTGAGTGCCGCACTGCAGATGTAGCCCGTCCCGGTAACACATGATGGCCCTTGGGAACCTTCCCAAAATAGGTTGCCCATTCAACATGTACGGATATTGGCAACTCGAAATTCGTCTCAGCAAAGAGGGTGTGCTGGAACCTTATATATGTTACCACCCCCATCTACCGGCGACGTCACACGTTGAGGGAACACAGAAATTGCTACTAACCTTCTCATTGTGAGCGACTTCACTAATTTAATAAACTCGGCTCGCCATTGAACAAATTAACCAGACTTTCGGTTCAGTTGCAACCTTGTGGTAACGGCCTTAGGCGTATCCCTAAAAGTAGCAAGCAAATGAATCTTTTGTCAGTGCTTCATACTCAGCCACACGCACAGCTCACCGAAATCACAAAAGCACTTGAAGTCAAGGGGAGGTGGGGGCAGAGATAGCCCAGCAAAGATGGCAGATCGGCTTACCTAGTCCACATGCAATCCTTCGTACACCAGCCGGCCATCGGGATTGATGTGGGACCTGATCGGGAAACATAAGTATTTCAACCGAATATCACCGGTTCGTAGGTAGGTAGGTCGCGCAGCTACAGCGGAGTCGGTCACGGGATAAACTCGAACTGAAACATCAAGTGGCCGCCGGTCTCCAAAGTTAGCCGTCCTTCACCTCTTGGGGGGATCCCTCTCAGAATGCAACGTTGTAAACCATCTAGATTGCCAACTGCCGAAGCCCCAGTTTGCAGGGATGTGCGGTGCCCTTTGACCCGAACGTAATGCAACCCAAGCGTTACCAGGAATGGATCTGCTGCCTGGCCACTCTTCTTCCGCTGTCAATCGCTGGTGATTGTACTGGTTCGGCGTGCGGTTTCTTCTGTATGTGAAATCGCGGCAATGGACGCCTCGCGTGTATATGCAGGCTCCCGTCCAAGCAAAGCGTCCATTTAATATACCGGATGACAACCGGTTCCGTTGTTTCTGCCGCCAGTGATGTCCGAGGACAATGCCCACCGAGCCCTTCCCCCCCCCCCCCGCCCTGACTGTTGATATCTTTGGTCGCGGGTAACCCGTACCCATCGGGGTATGGGCAATGATCTGCACCAAGCCGCTGCGCTACCCACGGAAACTGGGCGGTTGAAGTAATGGTTGGCTACAGGCGGGGGGACACAGGCAGGCCCTTCACTTTCTTCCCCATCTGCATCCAACCTAAACCGTGGGGCCGGGATCAAGGGGCGGGCGAGGCAAATTGTCGAGTCTATTTCGACGTCTTGTAACGGGTGCCCTTGTTATTCGCGGCGACGGTAGCTCATCCAACACCATCAGCTCTGTTTCGCGACGGCCAGCGTTCGTCTACGGCCTGAACAGATTTGCCCGACTCTCAACCCTGGAAGTTCCTCGTCTGGCAAGCGCCGGATGTGACTCTTCCATATTGCCATCGGAAGCAGTCGGCCGGCACCGATGGTGGTGAGTCGATATCCCTGATTGTCATTGACAAGGAGTAACCCGTGTTTTCTGGCCTTTGTTAAGAAAGCTGACATTTCGCAGATGGCCCTTTCGAAAAGAGGGCCCATACATCCTCGGCTGCATGTGCCAGGCGGGAGTGGCACCTGGGAAACCTGATATACAACTGCAGACATTTAGTGGGTCATATTCATATCTTCTTCTTCAAGGAAACAATCACATAACACACCTACTTAGTCTATTTTTCAGCACCTGCAAATGACCGACGTCAAGATCCTGGGAATACAGGGAGAAAACGTCTGGACCAATTAGATGAGTTCCGCACGCGCAGAAGGATCAATATACTGGATATCGGGTGGCACGGGCGGCAACACAAATGCGGGCGTCATCTCTTCCACGAATCGGCCTCTACCGCAGAAACCCAAGGTTGCAGCAATATTCTTAAAGGGAATATCTGCGGGATTAAGACAGGAGCTGAGCGATGATGCCAGTTTAGCAGGCTGCAGCAATCTAGAGGAAGACACATAAAAAGACACTCGTTTTAAGATACCACCTCGCCAACGCGACCGGCCAGCCCGCAGTAATTGCTTACCCGACTGCAACGTCCGAGCAGAAACAACAAACTATTGAACACGTCAGAGTTGCGTACTTTGAAAGGCGGACCCAATATACTCACTAGACACATAATCGCGGCTGAAGTCAACGGTCCCAACGTCAGAAAGAGAACAATGAGAGAATCAGCTGAGAGTAAGCCTTAGACAACGGCGGGCAGACATCCTATGGACACGTTCACTGGTTCGATCACGTCAGCTTTTTTTTTTTTTTTTTTATGAGCCAGGGAGCCGCAAAAAGCTGTTCCTCCCACCCCTGCACTTTATTCTTTATTTTTGTTTTTTTTTTGGCCCCATGTCCAGTGGTGTTTGCTTAACCACCCACCCACTTCACGAGCACGACACAACTGTATTGAGCTACGGCAAGCATGGAGATTGACACCGTTCAGAGGAGGACTAGTGAGAACTTGACGGCGAACCCCATACCAGGTTCACTAACCGATTTACACCGGAGGTAGCTTGTGCGTGACCATCAAGGAGGAGGTGAAATTGACGGAGAGGGAAAAGTGCTGCGGAGCAAGCTACACAGGATCTCCCAGGAATTCTTCCAATCCCGCATGCGGAGGTTCAGCCGCTGCCGTGTCGAGGTTGCCGCTAGCCTCAAAATGGAACCTCTAGCAGTATGACCCAGTTGACCTCCTGCCCGGGAGTGCTGATCGGTACAGATACACCCTTCAAAGTGCGCTCGCGTTGTCAGCGATGGCGGCGTGTGGCCATTATCCCTGCCGACAGCTGGTCTTCCACACACCTTTTATGATACCTCTTGTAGGCACTATCGTTCGGAGGGGGCCTTCGTTTAAGGCTTAAGGCGTCTTGGCCCCCATTCTCCCCTTGGTTGTCAACGAAAGACGTGGCAAGCAGGGCTTGTGCCATACCACGCCGACTCGAAGAATGGGAAGAAGAAACGAGAAGGACGTCAGGAACGTTTATCAATACCGGCCGCCACGGCGCTGGTCAGGAGGGGGGAGGGGGGAGAGGAGGGAACGGCATGTCCTTCAAAGTGAGAGATTGACGAGTGATCCACCACCACACTCTCCTGCAACGCACCTCAGGGAGTCACTGTGACTGGAAGCCCGCAAGGCATGTATCCCGCTTGCCAAGGCCGCGCGCATATGCGACACAACAGACTGGACCAGCAGCTGAGAAGAACTAAAGAGGGAAGTCTCCTTACCCGTTCACCCTGCGAAGTACACTCGGGTAGGACAAAAAAAGAAAAGGCGAAAAAGGTTTCGACGCGAATGGTTCTCGCCAGGTTTTCGCGCCCCCTCTACCCCCTGAACTTACGGTTTATCGTGGCAGGGGAACACCAAAGCGTCGAGTAAATACTGCACTAGCTTTCAATTGAGGGAGGGGGAGCCGTCAGACATCAAGGGCGACTCACGCCTATTCATCCGGCTGCAGGTCGGCGACCAAAAGTCTTCGAGTCTGCCCCCCCTCCCCCCCCCCCTCGTGCACAGATGGCGTGGTCTCTCCTAGCTTGCTCACTAGTGATGGCACCAATCCCCAAGGGAAAAGGGGAGTGGAGGGGAAAAGGCCAGAATCCTCCCCCAGTAGGAGGCGTGTCTCCTGGGCTCTCTCGTGGGAGGCGACGAGGATGGATGCTTGTTCTTGGACTGGTCCCCTAAAAGCCTGCCATTCTTCTGTTCTTTCGCGTGTGTGTCTCGGCTCCCTCTCAGGTTGGCTCAGCTTCCAGCTAGCCTCCTCGCTTCTTCCGCCACGCCCCCTCCTTCCTGCTCTTCCTGAGGGTGGATTATGACTCCCAGTTGTACGGAAGCTTTTTTTTTTTTTCTTTTGGTCAAAAGTGTACAACATGCGAGTTTGGAACGTAAATGCTCGCTCAGCTCCGAAACGGACTCGATTTGTCTCCGAGGGATCCCACCAAACGTCATTCGTCATCATCAGAGAAGGAAAAAGTTTTCCAAACTGGCCCAGTAGCCGCACATAACCGACGACGCAAGGGAGGAATGATGGGAGGGAGGTTACTCTACCACGTCTCGGGCCGTAACAGGCACGAGGGAAAGTCACTCCCGATGTGAACTTTCAAAGCATACACAAAGCAGTTTACCCGCCGAATCTGGCCACTGTTTGTGACTAGAAACTCTCGTCCTAAGGCTGGGGGGAGGACTGGTCACGCGGCTGTGCAAGCCCATGGTCGCGGTCTTTCTTGTTTGATGTGGATAACATGTCGATAAGCTTTACAAGTAACCTGGGCATGCTTCAAAGGGGAAGTAAAGCGTAAAAAGAATTAGAAGATAAAACCCAGAAAAAGCTTCGGGCCGGAAATGGATAGCAGTCCACGACGGGCGGTGCGTGTCTACAAGTGAATCAGGACTAACACAAGCTACTGCGCTCTTTGTTAAGGAATGTTTGCTTGTGTCATACGGTTCTTCCCACGGGACAGAAAACTTGCTTTCCCACTGTAGGTTAATATCAACATGCTTGGCAAGGGGGCCAGAGGAATAAGGAGAAACGAGGTAGGGGATATAGGGAAGGGAAAGGCGATTATGAAAAAGAAAAGGAAGGAGAAAAAAAAAGCCGTGCCATCCCATCTCATCTCTGGCTCCTTTCTTCTCATCTGTCAACATGGTTGACTTGGAGCTAAGACCACTAGCTCGTGAAACTAGATCAGACGAAAGGAATACTGGACGGTGCGCTCGAGTAATATCAACACATCACGATGGTGTGTGGGAAAATGCGGTAGGCTTGTGTGGGGGTTAGCCTTGCTGCCCAGCGACGGTGATGCAATAGCTCGCCTGTTGCTGTTTGGCCTACGTTCTCTACTTCTCATTGAATGTCCCTGTGTCAGCTCTGTCTGGCAGGCTCCCCCAAGGAAGGCGCTCGCTCCGTGTATTGCAGCCGAGGCGACCGACGACTACTTGGAATAGGGGAAAATGTGACTTCTCGTCACATGCAAGATCTCGCTCACAGGCTGCGGCACATGGCATTAATGGACCACAACGGGGATCCGCTGCATTTTTAGACTTCAATATATGACAATAACTTGTTTTAATAATTTTCACTGTACTCTTTCCCGTATCGTTCAGACCTTATTCAACATTCCGCACACAATCATATTTGTACAAGAGGGTTCATTCCCTGTCGTGTTGGTATCTCCCAAGCAGTCCCGTCCAAAACTCAACTCCACCCTCGTCTCATCTTGTTCCACATCTTCTGCAGTCAAACTCCGAGTGCTCTCCTGGATGCCGATTGAAAGTTCGCCAAGTACATGACTCAAACTCTGACCTTATCGCCGTTGTTCAACCGGTTTATGACAGTCCCTGTCATTATTGTCCTTTCCCCATTTGCAGTTGTGCTGTAAGCCCGTTCCCAGTTTGTAATCGCTCGAGTCCCGCATCTGCAAAAGCGCAGATGTCGCAGTCCGTTCGCCGCCGAGTTCCGTTTCCTGTACCACCCCACTCGTCGTAACCTTCTAAGCGAAGAGTGCCCAAACCATTTGTAAAGAAATTCCGACATAATATCGACGAAACGAACCCCAAGTGTCCCGTCTATGACCCTGATAGTCCCCTACCGATTAGTGTGCCGTGGTATTGGTAATGTCCCAGGCTAGCCATGCCTGGCCAAGAATACGCAGAAAATCGAGAAAAAGAAATGAAAAAAAGACCAGAAAAGCAATGTTCCTGATCCAAAAACAACGAAAGTTGAAAAGCCCTTCTCAACGACCGGTAACAGATGCTTTCCATCATGCCCCAAATACAATTAATGTCTCGTTCCAGAAGCCCGAGCCGAATGCCTGCCATTTGATGTCTTCACCCGACTGGAGCGTATTGTCGTATCCAAGCTGCTAACCATGTAATGCATATCAAAGGCACCATCTTAGCCTCATCAATCGATCAACCTTGACGGCTGTTTCGAGAGACATAATGCTAGGGGTGTGATGCTGATGTCGATGATTCCGCAGAGCTTGTCTCGTCACTCTCGCTTGAGTGGAGGAGTGCCATCGTCGGAGTGGTCCTGAGGCGAGCGACGGTTGTTGTCATTCGATGTATCTCCCGCTTCCTTGGTTCCGCAACCCTTGACAAGCCGATGTCTCTGTACTCGTGGTTAGCTAAAACTCCTTAGATGGGCATCTGTCACCATGCCAAATCGTCGCCGACTATGACTGATAGAAGCTTACCTTCAGGGCGTCCTTTCTAGAAAAACTTTTATCGCAAAAGTTGCATGGAAAAGGCTTCACCGCAAGATGAATTCTTTTATGCCTCTTCAAATCGTGATTTCTGTTGAACGACTGGGGGCACTGATCACACTTGAAAGGGCGTTCTGTCTGAGGGCTCGGCTGGCCGCCGTGACCGTGGCCGTACATCGAAGGAGCCAAGTGATGGGCATATCCAGGAACACCCATGCCGGGAACGAGAGACATCTGGTGACCTGGAGTATTTAGATTGGACATGATAGGCCCTCCCATTGACGGCACCCCATAGCCATAGCGATAAGGCTGAGGAGGTGCCATCCCCGAGGGATGCTGAAGAGAGGCCAATCCCCTCCCAGGTCCAGCCGAAGTCGTAGGAGAGGGGGCGGTGGGCGAGGTGTGCGATTGATAGCTTTGGAATCCAGTCTGTTGCGATGCCGCGGACGTGGAGTAGTAGGCTGGCGTAGCTGGCGGACGGGACTGCGCATATGAGTCAATGTGCGAAGAAACACCACCAGGCGTGGGAGGCTGCGTGGAGACGGGAGTCTGAGAGCCGAGGATTGCGCCTTGGGCAGTCGGAGGCGCCTGGGAAGGCAAACTAACTGGAGTAGACCCTGCCCCTGCTTGGGAGTAGGCCGTCTGAAAAGGCTGATGGCCTTGTGCGTAAGGCGGTGCTGGGAGACCTTCACCGCCCGTTGCTGGTGACTGCGAGGTACGCGAGTACGACATGGGCGATTGCTGCTCGTAGGTGCTCGCGCGTGAGCCGTAATGCGGTTGCTGAGTGAGGCCTTGCGGGGTACCAGAGCTTAGCTGGTAAGAACTCGAGGGAGTCGGCCATGATCCGTGAACGTTCCCTCCATAGTACTGGGAGCTCTGGGAGCTGGTGGTGTTTACACCGGAGGAGAGCGGGCTGAGCCCATCACCTGTCACTCCTGAAGGCGATGTTAGACCAGAGCTGGCGGTATGTGGAGAATGATGGGTGTTTGAAGTAGCGGAGGATGAGGAAGGAGGGGCCGACGGCGGAATCATTGCGGGGGCTTGCCAGGAAGAACCTGGCGATTGAACAGGTTGGCTGTGATAACTGAAGGGATATTGATGAGACGGTCTACTCATACTGGGAATATCTTGGTTTGCCGACGGGAGATGGAATGGTGGCAGAGCCTGTGTCGCTTGTCTCCGAGCCGCGAAGCTCGACGAAGTTTCCATAGCCATGGGGGGCAGGCTTTTTGTCTTCTGCTGCCTCGTCTGTGATTCGTTTTCTTCCCTGTTCTGTTCTGTCCCGTCCTTCTTTCCTGTTTCCTACCAAGCGGTGAATGCGTGGCCAGCAGGTGTTCGATGCTTGTGCCTTTCCGAAAGATTGGCGTAGCAAAAATAAAATAAAAAGATGAGAGCGAACTCTGAAGGAAGGAGCGGTGGGTTCTTCGATCTCTTTCAGTCAAGAGCAGTTAGATTTCTCAGGGATGGAGCCGACGGCTGAGAGAGCTGGAACTCGGACGCGGTGGTGAGGAATGAAGGATAGGGAGCGGAGTTGCTACAAGTGTTTCTTGCCGCTGGCGTGTCGACACTCGCCGATTCTCTCTATCCACGCACAATCACAGGTCGTTGGCTATCGACAAGCTGGGAGAGGAATGTCGTGGTTCCCAGGAGGAAGGATGGAGGAAGGACAAGACAAGGTTGAAGAAACAATCGGACGAGGTGTGGAAGTGGAAGTGGACCGGATGGAAGATGGCGGGTTGGGGGTAAAAGTAAAATCAGATGAACGTATAGATGGGTAGGCCAGGCCACAGGGTAAGCAAATGGTCTGCCAATGGACGGAATCGAAAGAGGCTTTGTGTGCAGGTTTTAAGTTATCCTGGAGACGGAATGTCGAAAGGAGTTATCGTGCGTCGATCACCTTAGGGCGCCAGTCCAGTCCGTCCCTCCATCCAGTGTGGAGGCGGCTGTCGAATATATGTAGCTCGTTAATGGTGCGGGACTTGGACTTGGGGGCTAATCCGGGATCTGTTAGGCCAAAGCCAGCCAGGCTCTAGCTCGGGAGGGCTGAAGGGGGCTTGTGAATGGGAAGTTGAACACCAAAAGTTACGAGAGGACCCTGGGCGCCTCAGCTCCAAGTACCGGGGTTGTCTTGTCTGACAATGAATGGGACAGTGAGCCAGGTAGCGTCTGCCCTACGGGATGAGAGGACCAGGGGAGAGACCTATCGACTTGGAATCTTCTCCTCCGCCGGCGAAGGTGGCAGCAGGAATCGGTTGGAATGTCTGAGGAGGTAATGAGAAGCGGGGGAGAGGCAGAAAGAGAGATGTGATCAAAGCAAATGCTTTTCCCTCTCGGTCAGTGTCTCTCTAACAGGAGGAGTGTGTGTGTGTCTCTGTCTCTCCTGTCCTAGGCGTCCCCGCCTGTTTATTCATTTGGGGCCCAGCCGGAACGAGTACCAAGATGCAGGATAGTTAGGAAGGGCAAGAGGCCAGGGTAGCCCTTAGCATCCAAAGTACGTTCCCTACCTTTGTGCTGCTGAACCAGTCTGTACCTTACCTACGGAGTAGAGGATGGCAGCAGTGGGCAGTGGCGTACTGACTGGCCCTTGGTTTGGGACAACAGGGTCTGGGCGTTACGGGTCGAAGGTGGAATACAAGCAGGCTGCCGGGACGGTGGGTTTGAAGAAGGGGGTGGGCTACTCAAAGGTAGACGCCAGTCTCTGGAGATTAAAGGTTAATATTTTATTAACGGACGAGAAATACAGCCTCTGTCTGGCGTGGCCAAAGTACATTGGTAGAGGTATCAGGACTGCGCAAGGCTCCTTACCTTGGGGAAACACACGGACGAGGATGGGCGAGGACAAGGAAAGGGGGGGGGGGGGGGGGGGGGGGGGGGGGGTGGGGGGGGGGGGGGTGACAAGCGATTGGCGGCCAAAGGAACCGGGCAAGGGGGATGGGGGAGGGGGCTCCAGGGTGTGAACGTACAGCATGTAGGTGTCTGTGTCCGTGGGAGTGGTCACTGGATTAGGAGTATGAAGTGGAAATGGAGGAGGGAGTGCAGACAGGAAAGAGGAGTAGGAGTATGAGTAGGAGTGGGAGTGAGATAAGTGCCGTCTCTGCAGAGCCAAAGTTCTTGTTCCACGCCGCGTCTGTCATCATTGAGTAGCTATTGCTGAGAAAGAAACTAGGGGGTCAATCTGCCAGCCGGAAAAGAAACTGTGAAAGAAGCAACAGGCGGCGTGTGTGTGGATGAAAGAGAGAAGGATGGGGTGTCCTCAAGGCATGGGAGACATGGCAAGTAGGAGGTGGAGGGGTAGGAAGTCGTCGGTTGGCAGTGCTGTGAGACTAAGACGAGAGACAGAAAGACAGGCAAGACAGGCAAAGGCAAGCGTGGGAAAGGGAAGAGGTAAAAAAAATAATAATGATAAAAAAAAAAAAAAAAAGAGAGATAGAAAAGTCGGAGAGCCTAAAGGTCGAGGCTAGAACCCTGTCCATCTGTCTGGCCACAGCGTACCCTGCTTCTCATGACTGCACAGGCACTCCTCCTCTTCCTCTCCATCTCCATGCACCACCAGCACCAGACCTCTGGTATCCCACCACCTCCCTTGTCCCCTGACATTGGCCCTTTCCCAGCCGAGGAACAAACCCCATGTTCTTGCTTGCTTGCTTGCTTGCTTGCCTGCTGGCATCTGGTTTGGATCTGGTTTTGCTACCTACCCACCACCAGCACTGGACCAGAATAAGCATAGTCGGCCAGCTGTTTGTTTTATTGTTTTAATTGCGGCGAAGCGACGTAATGATGTACATGGTCCGGTGTTCGAAAGATGTTGGGATGGTCCAGCTAACCTTCTTTTTCTTTTCCCCGAACCGCAAGGCTTTGGACGATCGGGGAGATTGACTTTTTGGCTTTGGCTTCTGCCTTTGAAAATTGGATGGGCGACAGACTTGGCGAGACGAAAGGAAAAAGCCATCCCGCATGTACACACACACACACACACACACACATACACACACTTACATGGGACACCTGCCTGGGACTGGCTCAAGACTGTGGCCCGTGTGCGCAATCATGCACGCAGGCAATGAGAGAGAGTTCTGTACCTCCATCTCGGGTTGGTGTGCTAGGATCCCATCAACTAGGGTCAGCACCACCCTGTCTTGGGGCCTCAGCTTATTCGCACCTTGGCCCGTATTATTACTGGGGTCCACTCTGAGCTATTGTCCATGGCCGCCGACCACCCTCCCAGAAGCAGAGAAGTGCCTACGCGTTTGCCCACCGTCAGGTACCGTGTTGCGGTGACTAGTTCCATCCTGGCCTATCCAGCACTGTATTTCCCAGGTCTGCCTCCTCGTCTTGGGCGAGTAGGTGGGCGGGGAGGCTCAGCTCAGAGCCTGTCTGAATTCACACACCCTGGGAGTGCGCTGAGGATGGCCTTGACGCTCTTTGCGCATGTTTTTGGCCTAGCCCAAATTATGGTCCTGCATTACCGCAAAGCTGAGGTCACTGTTTGGTTCCAACACTGAGTTTCGGCTGCTGCGGTGTTGCTCTCCCGTTATCCCATCCCCTCTAATAATATTTTGCAGGAGTAATGTGATGGCTGCCGATTTTTGACTGGACGGCCAACCTCATTACCCCATCCTATGCCTTCCTACTGTGCGCCTGCCCAGTCTATCTTGGTGCCGATGGTGTTTGTAGGTTGTCTGTCCGCCACGATCTTGCTGGTTGTCGACGGGTATCGTCTGGGGACGTGTCCCCTCCCATCCTGATAACGATGCGAAATCATAAGAAGCCAAGTCCCTCTTGGCATGGGAGCGTCTCGCCACACCGGGGAATGACGGCGGAAAGGCGGTTATGAAGACAAGCGCTGAGTATCGTCCGTGCAAAGGACGATCCAAGGAGATGAACAACAGGAAGGTTACATTCAAGAGCTCGAACTCGATACGTTTTCTTTGGCTATCATTGCATCCATTGTTTCTAAAAGCTCCGCTCAGCGCAACTGTGCGGGGTGGCTCTTTGCGTTTCATGTGAAGCGTACTCTTCGACGACAGTGTCTGATCGAGATCTCTTTTCGCTTCAGCGAGAAGGGAGGGGCAATTACTCGAATTTGACGATGAGCTTTCTGCCTTAGAGATGATATACCCCTTCTTCTGTGGGCAGTGGTGGGAAGTCGGGGGTCTGTTGGCGCTCACAGTCGAAGACTCTTGTACCTATGAGCTTTGAAGTCGTCACCCATCCCCCGGAGGAAATACCAGATGTATCCGGCACTGGGGTGCGCATGCATCAGAGAATCTCAGATGTGGGTTGATACTCTCCCCCAACGTTCAGCTTGCGCTTCAGCCCACAGGGGGTAAAACAGGGTGCCTTCCTGCTGGCTCCATGCGTGGGTGGGAGCTTGCTCCATAGCAGGTACGTACATGTAGGCTTGTCTGCGAGGTCTAGCCTCTCTTGCTTAAGAGACAAAGTGAGATGCGTTGCCGCTAATCGCTTGTTATTGAAGTTGACATATCGCACTGCTCCGTTCCGAATCAAGCTCGGACAATTTTGTGCCCCGATACCATCTGATCTGACGATGGCTCGTGGTCTGGCTTGACAGGCTGTCACGGGCGCATATACATGGTAGCCCGCTGCGGCTGCTCAAGCTTTTGCGCGACGCCCTCCTTCGATATGCATGATCCCTTGTCATCGTGCGTGACAAGACCAAGCCGCGCGACTATGCTGGAGCCCGTTCCGACATACCCCAGGAAGTGATGGTCGATAATTAATATGTAGTTGGTCGTACCAGAATAGGACTGGCCCTGAAAGATTAATGTGTGGATGTAGGAGGGCGAAGTAGGTACTTCCTCGCTCGTTTCCAACTGCTACTCTGGCCCTCTCTGACGAGGACAGCCCACTACCTTACTTGGCCTTACCTTGCTGTAGCTAATTTTGAGGGTCATTCCAACATGATGTTGATTGACTTTCCAACTTGGCTGTTTCCTCAACTGCTGTCTGTGAGCACTTCAAACGTCTCCATCCAACGTCCAATGTGGGGATCGTTTGTCTTACCAGCCGTCTCCTTTTCTTTTTCTCTTCAATTTGGCTAAAGCCTGGTCGTCGGTTGGGTTTTTTTTTTTTTTTTAAAAGCCAAGGCCCGCCAAAAGCGACTACCCATTGCTTCGCAGACCGCCACACCCTCCAGCTGAACCATTTTTCATTGCAACATTTTGAAGGCAGGGACTTACACTCTTCGCTAAGAT